AATCTGGTCTGAGAGCTGCGAAACCAAGTTTATCTCCGTACGTCCAAAATATTTATCGGATCGAGGTAAAATATATATTTTTAGAAGTAGTTCACCAAGCGCTTTCTTGAGAATTTTTTTCAGAGTTTTCGTTTTTTCGCTATTGCACGGCCCCAGTTGAAAATTACTGACATTGACTCTTAAGACGTTTAAAATCAAAAGTTGACAAGCAATGTTTTCGTGTATTTGTGCATTTGAAAGAAATCTGTATTGTGAGATGTATGTATGGTTGAGCAAACTGTCATTGACTGTCACTTACTGTCGTTTCAACAACAGAGAATAATAACCGGAGAAAAAGGTTCGAATAAAGAACGAAAAATAATTATTACAACAGGTAATGCATCAACGAAACGGAAGAAAGTTTAGTAGGAATCTTGGAGCTATAGGGAAAATACGGGGAAATTTTACTACCTGAAAATGGTTGTAATTCTAAATCGGATCTTATCTGAGGAGTTATTCCGGATGTATAAATGACGAGTAGCCTAATAACTTAAATTATACAAATGACAAAAGCCGAACGTCTTTGCCAGCTTTAATTATATTATTGAAGCAGTTCCTAAGGTTATTACGTAAATCCGTTAAGAGCAAATACATTGTTTATTCAATAGCCAATAGAATCCCAGCCTTTCAAGGTAGAGAAGTTCGCTCTGTGTAGATATACAAACAGTGTATGTCGATCAAATCAAGTCTGATCACTTTTAACCGGAAGAAAAATGCAGCTTACGTTTCGTGTACATTACTTGATTCATGTTGTTTTTTCGCGGAGTGATTAATGACTAGACAAGATACGACGAACTTGAAAGCTTGTGTACATGCGAGGTGGTAACATTATTGCTTTCGATTTGATTGGATTGAAAGATTTAAAGAAGTACGTAAGATTATACCCCGTTGACCGATCGAGGGATTTTACAACAACTGCGTATTCGATCGTGACGATCTGTGAAAGGTACGGGTAAGTCTATGGAATCCATTTTATTTTTATTCCTTACAGTATTGATCGACCAAGGTGTGTTGAGAGTTTTTCCTCTGATAAACGAAAAAGAGATCGCATTTAAGAAAGAGCGTTAAGACGCAAGGAAGCTTTGTTTGGTCGTTTATTTCTAGTGTACAAAGCGCGCGCTGAAAACGTTTTTTTTTACAGTTGGCTTCCAACTTTCCCAAAGTTCAGTATCTATAGAGCCCGGCAAATCACCCCCCGGCCATTTATTAGCGATGAAAGACCGCTGTGTTCTCTTAACATGGTACCAAATAGTCATTTACACTGATTTTTTTCGTTATCTCGTAAGATTTGTTACAAGATATCAAATCTGTTCAAAATTTACTGCGAGATTCTTTGCATCCAAGCTAGCTGATCAGAGCCGAAATGTATATCTGATTGCACTATACGATTCTCAGAACAAATTGCAGCATTAGCTGAGTATTGTAAAGGAAGCGTAACATGACATGTATATGGAAGAAAATATGCTTATCGGACAAGATAAACATGCTGGTTTGTCCAACTCTAAAGTCATGTTTACATATGCCTGTAGCACTGTTTTCCTCTCGAGCTAATCTTACAGGCGAAACAAGCATTACCGCGAGTAATTGCCAAACTCGAATATTAAGGAGGTCAGATAAATGCAATTCTAAAAGCCAATCGGCTTAAAAATTAATCTTTACATGTCCAAAAGATAGATTTCTTATCAAAAGTAAATTCGTCGTAAAGCATGCCAGCAAAAAATGGAAAAGAAAACAAATTTAAAATTAACTGTTTATTTTTCCGCGCGAACTTGTCAGCTGGTAATGACAAAACATCATGAGATTTTATTATTCGCTCATCGTGAAGAGCTATATCTTGAGTCTCGAAGGAAGGCAGCGAGAATTCAAAGTTTTCATCAAGATTTTATCACGGGTTTGACAAGAGATGTTTCAATCTAGGGGTCGCTGTTACTCCTGGTCTATAATCAATGCCATTGTGATATAGTGTAAGCAATTCTCATTTCCAGGTTTTGGTAAACTATCGTACATGATTGGCAGTTTGTGTCAAAATTCTTCCAGGACCCGGCTTAATTATCAAAATCTCAATTTCACGTGGAAAACATTCGCTTTAATTTTCACCAAAACATCGATTCGCGACCACTTCACAACGGAAACATTTCAAACAGCTAGAACTGGAGGGAGTTGACAACTCCAGCAGAGACCGTTTAGCGTCTCTGCAGAAATGAAGGTTGTTACAAAAAATGTAGTCTCCCGATTTTCCTTTTTCAAAATTACATGCCCTTTATATGTTTTGCAAAATGCTTACATAATATTTCCAGTTTCTTAGTAGAATTTTCGAGTTTCTTAATTCTTAGCAAATTCGTTTCAATTTGCAAATCTGTGCCAGAAGTAAACAAACCGCACATGCAGTTCTTGAGTCAGGCTTTATGGCGTTATATCTAGCGTGCTTATCATCAATTTTAAAATAGGCAAGAAGAGTAACAATGTGCCTGTAAAAAAAAACCAGAACTGATCATGTACATTGCTTTTCAAGTCCGAAACGCGAAAATTACTGCACGTTGATTATTTTTTTCAGATTAGATAGAAAGCCGCCAACGATTTTTTTTATCTGTACAGCAGAAGCGGCTTTAACATCAATTCTCGACGCATGCATTCAACGTAAATGATTGGTGCAAAAAGTACCACTGAAAATCTGTTAATGAGTTATTAAAGGATTTCGAAAAGTTATCTTTTGAACAGAAGGAGGAAAGCTTAAGTTAATTAAGGGTCATGTATTAAGTTCCTTTCAGTTCATCTCGGTATTCACCAAAGTGCATTGTAATTTCAGATTTTGGAATTCGTAAGCCCTCACTGACCTTTCAGACAACCGAAGATGGCCAACGGCACGGCAACAACAACTCTAAACATTTCAACAACCGTCGCTGCGGAGGTCCATTCGTTTAACTTCACGATCAAATTCATTTCCACCTTTCTTTTGATTATCATCATCATCCTAACTCTTGTCGGTAATTCGCTTGTCATCCGGGCATTTGTGGTCTTCCAGAAGTTGCGTAACGTGACTAACTACTTCGTGGTGTCCCTTGCTGTGACGGACATCTTAGTGGCGGTGTTTTCAATGCCAGTGTGGGTGGCCTACCTACTGACGGGGCCACAGTGGCGATTCTCAATGTGGTTGATGAAGATCTGGCAGTCCGTCGACATCTTGTGCGGCGTGGCGTCAATTTCCCATCTTCTCCTCATCAGCATCGAGCGTTACATCTGCATCTCTACCCCGCTGACGTACCACAGTGTCGTGACAACGCCGAAGACACGCGTCGCCATCTGCGCGGCGTGGTCCTTTGCGCTGCTCATGACCGTAATAAAGCTCGTGCTTTGGGGAAAGTCGCGGTCCACAGTTTACCAACTGGCCGCATTCTCGCTGTGTTTTGCGGCGCCTGTGGTGATTATGAGCTACGCGTATCTTATGATCTTCAAAGTTTCTCGCACTCAAGCCAAAAAGATGGTGTTAAAGATTGGTGAGAAAACAAAAAGATTCTGTCTCCCAAAGGAACTAAAAGCTGCCAAGACATTGGGCGTGGTGATGGGGGCGTTTGTTATCTGTTGGTTTCCGTTTTTCTTTCTCAATATCTTCAATGCGCTTTGCCGGTGAGTACAACCGTGAAAATGTATATAAAAATGGTTTAATGTTAAAGGTCAAGGTCTATTGCGTGCTTACGGATCGATGAGCAGGATGAAATTGTACAGCAGTGCTAGTTCACACCTTAGATCTCAGTGTAAAATGAAGTCAGTACAAGTTTGTCCCTCCCCCGCCCAGATGGGATACTAGCAATCACAAACTATCCTTTCGCTTTCCCTCGCACCATTCCCTGCAAAACCTTTGTGAGTAAACATTTGACTTCATCCATATTTCTGGGTGGGGAGGGTACTGCGTGAAGTAAAGTGCCTAACCCAAGAAAATTGCACGAACCCAGGCTTCTCTATATGAGGTCCAACAAATAAACCATCAGAATTACGTGCTTCAGACAAAAAGAGGTTATAGTATAAATTCTCCGTCACCGCTATCGTTCTATTCATAATTACATATTTCACTTTAAAAAGACGTCTCAGGCCCGAATATACAACTAATAGTTCATAGTAAGAGGACACTGTGGCCTTTACAAATTGAACTGTACATAGAAGAATCTAACAAAGTACTGTATTCCTTGAAATTTCAGTGAATGCCATATTCAGGTAGAGGCAGTGATGATTGCAAAGGGACTTCATTACTTCAACTCCTTTCTGAACCCCATTATCTACAGTCTGATGAACCAGCAGTTCAAGACTGCCTTTAAACATCTCTTCAAATTCACGTACTCCAACTTAACCGGCAAAGTTCCCTCGCTCACAAAATCAGAAATCGACAGACAATTATCCATCTCGACACGAACACGAGGAATCTTTTCCTTGAAAAGCAAATCATCTATGCTCGACAAAGCCAACGGCACGACAGAACTGTGGGTGACTTGTCAGGAAAAAACTTTGCAGTCGTCTAGCCAGTAAATAACCCGGGTGAATAACACATTTGCAACGAAATATTTACAAAAGGAACTTTTCAACTATCTTGCCTAACTATCTAACATAGCTATCAATGGCTCATCCAAATATATACTTACGTAAGTACAATTTGAGACTGTTAGAAAGTGCAGCTAAGATTTCTTTCCAATAGCCCTTTAACACGGTTACCTTTGCTCATTTGCATTAAAATAAAATCTAACATGCATGTGAGGCAATTTCGGGCTATTTTGTAGTTTTAGCCCGAAATTGCCTCGCATCCACGTTGGATTACATTGTAATGCAAATGAGAAAAATTAACCGTGAAAATGGCTATTCTGTTCAAAATGGTCGCCTTCACGTTGCTCGACCCCAGGCTGTTCTCGATCTTGTGGAACCGGCGGAATAAACCACGACGAATTTTTTTCCGTCCCCGCCAGGAGCCTGTTCGTCGGCTAGGAACCTCAAGCTCGCCTGTTCGCAGGCTAGGAACCGCAAGTTCGCCTGTTCGTAGAACGCGCGCTTGCCTTTATGAGGTGAAAGGAAAAACAAAAACAAAAAAACAAAACAAAACAAAACAAAACAAACAAACAAACAAAAAAAAAAACAGGGCAACGCAACAGTTATAAGACTTTCGCATGACATGGAATTAGTTCCTTTGTGTGAGCAGTTGATGAATTTCGTCCGAAATTAAAATTAATACAATTGAGGCCCCGTCCGCACTAGGCAGGAGAAATTTGAAAAAGGAGGTTTCACTTTGAAAACGTATCTAATGTTTTCCATCCACGCTACGCTGGAGGAATTTAAAAACTAAACATTCACCGGTCATTTTGGATTTGTGTTTGGGTAAAAACAGGGCGAGAAAATCACATCATGATTTTCGTGACGCCATCGTTTTCGAAAAGGTCCTTTTTCAAAATATTTTCTGTCCACACGAAAACGAAAAGCCGGCGTTTTCAAATTCCTCCGGTTTCAAGTGCGTTTTCCAATAACTCCGTTTTCATGACGGATTAGTGTCGACGGTAGGCCTAGCCGTAGAAATAAATCTCCGTTTCCAAATTTCTCTGGCGTAGTGTGGACGCGGCCTGAAAGGGGTGATGTACGATGAGCGTTTTTCATACGTCATGGTATTCCTGTTCTCTCACTATTCGTTTGAGGTTTCATGCAAGGTAAAACTGCAATCATGGTTTGAAAGTAAGGATTCTTCCGGAACTCTCATGCAGTGTAAAGTTGCTGTCAAGAACAGAAAATGTCATACTTTACTGAAATGTTTGACACCTTCATAGATAGGGAGAGATCACTGAATTTCAAATAAATACGTAAATGATGCTATTTAGTATCACCAATTTTATTCCATTTTCTCAAGCAACGGTAACTAACCTCCATTGGATAAACGTCGATAAAGCGAAGCCGTTCTAGAATGGAAGTCGATAGTTTATTTGTGGATTTGATAACAATATGTGGTTACTGCAGCTGTTTGTTGTTCAGCGAAACCTGGTTTAACTTTTGAACAACTGGACGAGTGGCAGTTTGGCAATATCCTGTCCGACTTATTTCGACCAGGATACAATTTGTGAATTCGCTTCTTTCAAGAAGCTCTCACAGCAAAACAGATGAATGTCAACATTTCGATTCGGCCTCATTGACATAATTCATGTTTAGGGGAGGGGGGGACTATTTGGCTTTGAAGAGGGAGAGGGGATGTGCGGGTGATTTGTTACAGGCTCGATTTTTTTAACCCTTTCACGCAATACGATTATTTGTTTTCTCGGCACGTGCGTGTATGCATGATAATTTTTTTACCCGTTCAACATGCTTGTTTTTCGGCTCTCTGACCGAGCGTCAGGGTTTGCGCGCATTAATTTTTTCCTGGTACAAGAATGCCTGCAGGTTGTATTTTTCCAACTTAAATCACCCACCCCTCCCTCTCTCAAAAGTCAAATGGTCCATCCCTTTGACTGTTAGTGAAACATGAACAAGCACATAAATATTTTCAAGGTTGTAATATGTAACCATGGACGATACTAAACGAACAATTTGAATATTGAATGAAATATCGCTTTTAAAACTCAAGGACGTGTGGAAAGTTAATGTCATCAGCTCTTAAAGCATTGTTCCAATGTGCTTCAGAATCAATTTTTCTTAAAAACTAGACATCATAAATAAAATTTTACAAACTGGCTAACATAAATATTAGTTCGTTGTTAGTTGAATGTATAACTTTTAAATGTGACGTACAATATTAAATACCAAGGAAAGATCTAGTAAAATAAGGAAACCGGGTTTCTTCCGAGTCATGTGAAGTTGTGGACAGACATGACTGTAGAACGTGGATTAAACAAAACGTAACAGCAACATCATTTTTCCAAAATAACGGGTGGAATTTGGAAATGCTGAAAGTCATACTCAACGGATTTTAAAATATACCTTTTCGAGGGTTTTTTGTTATATTGCGAAGGTCGTTAACATATCCCATTGTCTCTACGAAACGATAGAGATGCTGATGTCAAACATTATTCTAAAATAATCAATAATTCTGCAATACTTATGAATGGTTAACTTAAGATAACCGGCAAAACAATTCGTGACAACTTACTATCTAGCAAAACTACAACCCTTAAAATTTGGTTAATACAATCCTTCGCCTATTATCTTAAGTTCACCATTCACAAATCTCTCATAATCCCTTTTTGGAAATAATTCGGACATAAATTGAACTTGGCAGTCTTCAGTGCGCGCGCTGGCAAAGGTGAGATTAAAATAAGCAAAGCGTTCGAGGTCAGGCCTTCCGCGAATGATTAAATAAATGAATCATAAATTAAAATAAAAAGTTCAAAACAATCGTTATATAACTACTTTTACCAAAAACCAGAGAATAACAAATATTAACGGATAATCACTTTCACCGAAAACTGAAACGGCAAACGGTGGAGCGGAAAACACGGGATTTTCACAAGAGACCAAACATGATGTTTATGTCTAGCGCGAAAAAAAAAAAAACCTTGAAAAATTGTTATTCGCTTAAGGTCGCACAAAGCGACGGTTTATTCGAAGAACATTATTTGGGCTTTATCTGGACATCACAGTTGTAAGAATTGTACTTGGGAAGCAAGGTTGTTTGAGCGACTTGTGAAGCTTGCGCCAGATTGCTTGCCGCAGGGATGTTGGCCACTGCGACAGATTGGTTGTTTTTCAACAGAACTGGGATTTTACGAACCTGCAAGACAATTTCACCGCTGGCCTGCTGCTGTTGTTCTATCTCGACCATGGTGCCAATAACTCTTTCACCAGGGACGGAGCTACCAAGAGGGACACCCAGAGGTGCTTCATCGATCCCCACAAAACTGCTCAGCTGGGCAGACTTTTGTTGTAGTTCCTCCGAGGTTGGTTTTTCAGTGTTACGAGATTCGACCTTTTTAAACATTCTGTGCGACAGAAGAGCAAACGACGTTGTCCTCAGGCAATAGTTTGTGAGATGCGGGACAATTCCTGCCCGCTTACTCATCTCTTTCATGAAAGAGTTTAGCACGGTTCTTCCAATGGGAGACAGCGAATACCACACCACGTCTTCAGGCTTGAATTGCGATTGCTGGCCATCTTTTGGCCGCTGGAATAGCACATCTGAAGCGGGATTTAGATGTGAGAGATAATTCTTTAACGTTTTAACCGGGCACCTGGCAGATCCCGGTACGGCAAATACCTTCGCTTCAGATTCCTCTTCGTCATCTGCGGAAATAGCTGAAGGCAGTGAACTCGGCATCTGCCTGTTAAGCTCATAGTATTCCAATCCTTCAGGTGTTCGTCCAAGTACGAGCATATCGCGCTTGATTAAGCGTTGGTTTTCTCGTCCACGTCGTCCGAAAAACAACGCCACATAAAACCATGCGGTGCGCTGGAGTTGCGCTGGGTCCTGACTGTCAGCTGGTCCAAGTTCACCACTGTCATAGAGCTTTCGCACTTGGTCTTTCGTGATGGCTTTCTTGTGAACAATATCTTCTATTTTGCCAGACATCTTAAGGTCTTTCACGAAAGCTCCCAGCACTTTGTTAGCTTCAGTAAACGCAGCATCACTGATGACAGAAAACGGTTTGTTGTGTGGAGCCGCTCGAAGATATCGGTCGATAGCAGCTCTGATTGATTTCAGCGAAGATGCTTTGTAGTAAGATCCATCCTGCTTTCTCGCTGAAGTGTAGAAACACTTCAGGCAGGCATTAAGCTCCTCTTTCGACATTTCCTCAATTGGTTTTAAAAATTTAACTCCTCCGGGGCTGGCAAGCCAGTCTGAAAATAAAATAAAAAACGATTTCGCTTGAATGAAATAATGCACATTGTGCTTGTTTGTGTTTTTGAAAACAAGACTGTTATTCATCTCTCGATAAAAATAACTGTTCAAGTCATCTCATATTAAAACTAACCGTTGAATATTTTCATGCCAAATTTTGTGGCTTTCATCGTTGACTTGGCTGTAGCGTTGTCTAACAGTTTTTGTATTTCATCGGGCGACAAGTCACCAAATCTATTTTGGCCAACAGCCGCCATGTTTCCCAAGGTAGTCTGCTTGCGTGAATATCAAAGAAACTCGTAAACAAGTGGCTTTTTCCATATAAGGCGACGTCGAAGCATATGTTCCAATAACCAGTACGCTTTGAACCAATAAGAGAGCTCAAAATTTAATAACCTGTAGTTACATTTATAATTTACATATTGTAGTCTCAAGTTGACAAGATAACAAACTTGCTTTCATTTTCGTTCCATTTGGAACCAAAGCGCCGCTGAGAAACAGAAAAACCACAATGAAATTAGCTTGCGGGCAGAAAAAAAATCGTACATTTTATCTTGAAAAACATGCGTAATGCGAAAATTATGTTTCTCGAAATTACCATGTTGATATTAAAAGCGCTTTCCTTGGCATAAACAAGATCATATTTGCATATGGCGAGGCATATGCCCTGATATACTGTGGGTTTTTCAACGATTGAGAAACCTATCAATACAATCGTGGATATCTGCAATTGCTGATCACAAATTTTACAGATTTTTACCAGAACCAAGCAAATGTATTTTTTTTTTCCCAGAAACAGTCTAAGACATCACGTTCCTATTCAGCAAAACCTTACAGACTAAATAATAACTTTTTTTTTTTACAGCAATTGTACATAGAAGATTTAATTTGGTGTTTTTCATGGATCACATTTTAGCATAGTCTTATTATTTGAATTCATTTGTAAAGTTTTATCGCATTCAGTCATAGAGCTGTGATTTTGAAGTTTCAATAATCTATATGTATCTAAATGTATCTGATGAACAAGCGCATAAGTCTTAGATTCGTATCACATGAGATTGCGCACTATTCCTAAACTTACAGTTTTTATCATCCAATCTGTTTATTTTTTTTTATATAATTCTTTTTCAGGACTTGTATCGAGACAATTTTGTCTTCATGCACTGTTACTTTTTCTATAAGAATATGTTTTATAGGAATATCGAGGGTGAATTTTGCAAAATTTTAAGAATATTTTAAGAATAAACCCAGGGCCGAGACTTTGAAAAGAAGATATTTGTATGTGTTAGAATGTGTAAATACATTACAATTATATGTTTTTAACTAAACCGTATAAATTCTTCCTGTATCTAAACGTCACTAGCCGTATATTCGATGCTACTGAATAACATTTCTGCAAGAACTTATGTGCGTGATATCAGGCTATGATGCCTGCAGGCTTGCTCCAGAATTACTTCATCCAGACACCACCAGACACCATCCAGACAGTCGAAAACAGATATGTCATACGCTATAATCTAAGAACATTCACAATAAACAACATTTCCAATCTAAAATCGGCGGGAAAATAAGAATTTCAGCCTCGGCAAAACAATATTCTTATCGAAAAAAGAGTGTATTCTAGGAACTCGGTATTTAAAACATCGATTGTGAAACTATATTCTGAACATCACCAAATGCACGTAATATAGCGGACTAAACAATATAGAACGGATTTTTCTGAGTGGCATAGCAACACAGAGAGTAACCTTCTTTGACAATATCGTAAGTATCAGTCGACTCGCTTAACTGGATGCAGTCACGCAACGTAACTCATTGCGTGACACTGAAAAAAACCGCGGGAAAGGCACATGACAAATATAAACAAGACATAACAGTGAATCGCATGATAGCATGCGCAGGCCATGTGATGGCTTCCTTTCTGCGAGACGAAATAAAAAGGAGAGTGGTGTTCGCCTCCTGAAAATTCTTCTTTGGTCTTCACTGTTATCATTTTGCCATAACGCAGGAAATCTCCTACAGCCAGTCACGATACAGAATAAATAAAAATTCTTCAGACGTGTTTCCTTTCAAGGTTTTGATGCAAACAAACTCTGCAGTTGCGTCTAGTAAGAACATTATATGTTGAGTTAGACCATCTGGAGAAGATTCGAGGGTTCTGCAATGTTCACACTATTTACATGGTGGAGTGATAACAATTTTTCCAATCAGTTTAATACACTGAGTCGCTTGAAACATCAGTTCCTCAAGCAAAACGCTGCAACTAGGAAAATTGCCCTAATCATGCAAAGGAACGTATATCTATATCCGACTTCCAAGCAGAGACGTGATCTCTTAACTGGAAGTTAAAACCTGACATCATCTAGAGGCAGATACCGGGGTAATCGTTTTTGTAACCCCCTCTTCCTGCAGTCCCATCTCCTAACGCCCCCATCTTGTAGCCGGTTTTTAGACGTTCCGTCTAACGAGATTTATTTATTTCTTACTATTTTTCGTCAGTACCTTATACTATAACTGGTTTCATTATGCGATGCACTATATTCCAGAGGACCTGGCGAGTAGAGTCCAAATCGGTCTGCAATAATACTGGCCAATTGCATTACTACGCGAAGTGATTGGCTCAAAAAAGCTCCAGAGAATGATGAGTTACTTGCGCTGTTCCATATGGAAAGCACTATTTATAGCTGCTGACATCCTTGTTTCGGTAAGTATCCCACCTTGGAGTCTCGAATTTCTGGAAAAGAGTATCGCTTTAAACGCTCTCCTGAAGTCATAGTTCAAGAATGTGTAAATAATTGGGTTGAGCAAGGAATTACCGTAATGCATCCATTTAGTGACCATTATAATTTCTGGCTTCACCAGATGGCAGCTCTGAGGGTCACACAAACTGTAGATAGTGTTTATTATCATGAATGGCAACCAACATATTAGAAAGGCACCCACTACTACAGACAGTGTCTTAGTTGCCTTGAGTTCCTTCAAGAAGTTGTTGCTACGCCTTGGATACTGCGCAGGCGTAGTAGCGCGTATTTGTTTCAGCTGATGCAGTGCCACTCTGAATATAATCGAGTGCGCGGTGATAATAACCAGCAGTGGAATGCAGTAGCACACGATAGCTGCAATCAGGTTGAAAATGCGCTTGTGATAAAGAAAGAAACTTATCACCGCCACGCCAAAGGAATATAGCCAAACGGAAGAAATGATTCCAGTCACTTTCCGTGTGGTCATCCATAGCTTATAATGCAAAGGCCGCTTTATACACAGAACGCGATCAAAGCTTATCACCATGAGATTCATAATGGATGCCGTCCCTATTAAAATATCAACCATGGTCCAAACACGTGACAAGCCAGCGCCTAGTACCCAGACCGGTCCAGTCAATACGTACGCTACCCATACGGGCATTGAGAACAATCCAACGCAAAGATCAGTACATGCTAATGACACCAAGAAGTAATTTGTCACAGTGCGGATGCGTTCGTAACGCGAAAACGCAACGATGACCAGAATGTTACCGAATACTGTACCAAGAATGAGAATTATGGTGAATGTTGCTGTACCGGCGCGGAATCCGTCTGAGAATGTCTGCGACGGGTTTGTTGAGGTAGCCTCGCTGCTGTTAGACATTGCTGTATTCGTCTTCTTGTTCCCGTGAAAATGCTGTCCCGTTCTACTGCGTCTAATTGCAAATAAAACTACAAAGAAGAAAGAAATTAGAACATAATAAAAGAAAGTCGTGAAAGTTTTCACGGCTCACTCGGTTACTGAGTTTACCACACACCTACCCATTTACGCACCTGCAAACTCATCCACCCTTAAAAGTTTTTTCACTCTACTGAGATTAAATACATGCGAAAACACAACAATCGTCAATAAGCTATAGTTGAACGAAGCTATCACTAATGGATCCTGAAACTTTGAGGAAAAACATTGGAAAAATATTTCCTTTCTAAGAAATTTTAATTTAGTAGTATCCTTATTCATCTTAATTTCAGTGTTTTTGCTATAGATATCGAATGCATTTGCGTATTAGCAGATAGTATTAATTAAAGAACACGGAAACCGTTGGTTACACCACCACATTTGTTGTTTACAACAATACATCGGAAGTCCGTTTTGAAGGAGGAGAGATGGCTGAAGAGGCTAATACGATAGGGACTTCAGATAATCATGTTTTACAAGAAAGCGGAACAAATGCCTTAAGTCAAATAACACAGGTATTGATACTGTAAAGAGAACCTTCGCTGAACCCAATGAAGCTTGGAATACAGTTGAAGGTAAGCACGACATTTATACCATAAACTTAACAGAGGAAGAAGTTGAACAAAGTGAATCATGGATCAACGAACTTCAAGAATTGCACAATGAGGCAGCAGCCACACAAGTTCCGGCAATACATGAACGAACAGATTCAAATCAAGAAGAAACGGAGAGACGAAAAATGGAACAAGAAAGATCCCAAAGTGGCAGCTTTGCTCAAGACTTCTACAGAATTGGATACTATGGTGACAAACTGCAAATAATTACATAATAAAGCGCTCAAGCTAGTGGACAGTAAAAGCGCAGAATACGAGATCGAATGGATTCGTAACGTGCACGTGCACTACAATGAAGTCAGCGGAAACAGTTCTCGATCCCCTCAAGTCTGCCGTTTTGGGCTGGCGTCAAGTTCTCCCGCGATCTTATCAGTGCGTTCAAGGATCAAATAAAAATACGAGAAAATAGGGGGCTGTGAACAGTCTATATATACGAAATCAGAATCCACTTTAACTAAAAAAGGTCAAGGTGCCATCATTTACAGGAGAAATAAGAGATTGTCCTCGATATAAAACGGACTTCGAGGAAAAATTCATTCCGACAATTAACATCGAGAACGCTCCTTACATCCTTTGATCATGTCTTAGTTAAGGACCAGCTGATGACGTGAAAAGTGTTAATGGCGATCTTAAGGTGGCTTGATCGGATACTGCTCAACTTTGAGCGACTAGAGCACCACTATTAACAAGCCAGTAGCAACTCAAACGTTCAAAGTAGGGTGCTAGAAAAAGATGAAAGTTTCAACCACAAAACGAAACTTTCACTAATAGATCATAATACACAGTGAACGTTGAGGACAACCCGTTGGGTGAATATTTCCTTTCTATGAAAACATTTTTTTGTGGAATTCTTACTTATCATTATTGCTGTGTTTTTGCTATAGATTTCGAGCGCCTATGTGGATAACAGATAATAAAGAACAGAGTTTGTAACCGTTGGTTACAGCTATGCATTTGTTGTTTTGAACAACTCAGTCTTGCAAAAAATCGTGGCTACAAGACCGCTTTGTGAAAAATATCAAGACTGCAAGACGCACATAAATGCTAAGAACGTGAAACTCGACTAAAATTTTGCAAGACCCAGAGTTTTTGAAGGACCATTGGCCATCCCTTATGATGGTTCAGTAGGCAGCAATGAGTGATTAGTAATATAATACCAAGAAAGTAGTAAACAGCCTCGAATCTATAATAAGATACTCGAATGGATAATGAAGACGCAGGTTAAAATCTGTATGGAAAATAAAAGTTGGCTTTTGTTCCGTCAGAGCAATGACTTATTTAGACATGACCTTCTCAATCAAAACCTACGCATGCAAAAAGTTTTTCCGAATCAAGCAAACTGAAATGGAGTTCTCGTCTTACCTCTTAGCTTATTTTGATGGCCATCAGAAATCTAAAGGCTTTAATGGTCGGGTATCAATTTGCAGTTTTCTTTTCTGGAACTGTTCCCCAAACTCAAAACATCACTGTTCCCAGTTCCTGAGGTTATTTTTGGGCTGAAATTGCCCTCCTAAAATAGTCATACATTCATTGAAACAAACATGACTCTCTTACCACTGTTTTGCGAGCTTTTCTGATGATTGAGATGAGCGGCCAAGTGAACTTTGTTCAACTATTTATATTGAACAATTTATTGCGTGCTTCTCTTGAAAAATTAAAAGTGGTTTACGTCAGTTTGTTTGACGGCAATTCATCAGACAAGGTTTTTTAATGCATAGTCTACCAGATGTGCCCAACCGGTACGAACGACCTCCCAATAATGAAAGTAAAAAAAAGTGCGTTCAAAGACAATATATTTGGGGCTTAACGGAGAAATTAATTTCGCATAAGCCCGCTTAGATCAGTGACTGTTCGATTTGTCCAAACTGAAATACATGTATATTGTTCCTTACTTCGCTAATGTCATTTGTATTGCAGTTATGACGTCTGGTAGCTCTCAATTTCTTTGGAATTTCTCGTAATTTCTTATTTCTCGTTGCAAACCGTGAATCTCTTAATCCATTTCAAAGAAATTCAGGAAGTCTGCGGTAGGCCATAAAATCTTTAATAGTTTTAATGACATTTTTATACAAAACTATTGATACTTGGCTGTACATTTTTTTCGGTAATGGTAACCTCAAATGCGGTAGACTACTACATCAGTACAAAGAAAAGCCATTATTATATCAATAAAAGGTGAAATTAATTATAAAAGGTCATGAAGTACTTTCTTTTGGTAGATGGCGGGATAATTTGTGACGTCTGTAGAATTCTCCGGAAAGAAAAAAATGCTTTTCAGGAATTCTATTTTTTAAAGTTTTAACATTGTCGCCCGACAAAAACAAATGAAAGTCTCAATGTAAAAAGGCTACAAGAAATATGCAACGATAGTTGCCCACCACTTCAGAAGTTGCTGGCACGGATAATGTTGCAAGCTATTTTTCACTCAGTTGGAATAGCAGGGTATAGCGAAAATCAAAACAAACTCGACTGAAATCCTATCAAAGTAATTTTAAAAAATAAAAATTATGTAAAATTATAAACTTATATTGATGGATTCTTAAAGCTCCAGAGAAGCCTAATTATTCATACCATTTATACTATCGCGAAGAAAACAGCAACGAACTTCAAAGACAAACACCCGATCGAAACTGAGATCCGATACAAAACAAAGGTTCTCGATGAACTGTAAATTACTTACCCTGATTAGTTGAAACTTGTAGAAGACTAGAAAAATCCGTGGCAAACCTTTGTCTCTATTTGCCAATTGTTATTACCCTCTGTGGCTCTACGAAGAAGCGAAACATTTAGCTCGATAAACACAAATATGCCAACACAAGAGAGGACAAATGAACTTCCAGAAAACTTGAGAAAAGCGAGTGGGAGAATTGACAACTGACAAATGGTATAGGCCGAACGTACTGTTTTAAAGGCGAGACTACATGACGGTTTAAAACATCTATAACATACTATTGACTGTTTGTATAATTCAGAATTCATACCAGTTGTAATCTTCGATATAAGTAGGTGTGGCTCTTGACAGACTCATGCGGCTATTGTCTTTCTTGTTAAGGATCACTTATTTGGCCAGAACCATCAACCTTCTGTTTCCACGAGTGTTAAATTACTGTAACATGACAACTATACATTGAAGTTTACCGCTGTTGGTTGGTCAAAGATAAATATTTTTAGATATATAGATCATTATCATTATGTCAAACTTGGCAAAGTTCAAAGAAATTTGCATTTGTTTTTTGCCTGAGATAATATTCTGTGTGGAAGTGGTATGCGTTTCGTTCAAATTTTAGGCCTTCAAAATGTTTCTAATAAAACTAAAACGCGAAAATCGGGAAAATATGTTTTAAAAACCTATGAATATTTAGGCTTTCGGATCAACCTAACTTCATAACCTCTGAATAACTGAGTATGCTTTAGGCGATGGCTTCCACCAGAAAGAAAATATCGAAAGCGAAATTTGCCTATGAAATGTCTTGTTTTGAGAAAGTGGAAAGACAATGTCCTAAAGCAGAATTAAATGGATTGCAAAGTGCTTCAAAGGGCGAATGTATCAATGGATTTGGTTAAACGTCTTTCGAAAGACAAAGCTCTACATTTTGGGAGACAGCTATTGAAAAAGTCCTATTTTAGGCACAGTAATAAAAGTGATTATTTTTAATCAAAGGGTTTTACAGCGCCCATCTTGGTGTTTCCAAACGATAAGAAATATTTGCATATCAAGAAACTCATTTCCCAAAGGGGAGAAATTTCGTCGTTTGGGAAACTAACATCTCCGCGGAAAAAGGTTGCTTGAACAAAACACAAACAACAACAACAACAACAACTAAAAACAACGACGAGGGTAACAATTTGTCGTCGTGCACCAAAAAGCGATTATTTACCGCACGAAACATAGCGAAAATTTACGACACTCTTATGACTATATGTTTGTTTAGCGTTCACCTCTACCGATCATCTCGCCTACGGTGTTTTATATTGTTTCTGGCCTGTATTTAGTAAATGTGTATTGGAAGAAAAACCGATTGTGATCTGATATTAACTGGTACGGTTTTTCTGAAGAAGACTGGAAATTCAAAGAAAGATCTGGAGATACATTGTTTACGTCAATGCAACTTCCTTCGCTATATAAGGGTGACCGCTTACACTGTTTTGTCTGCAGTGTGTAAGTTCTGATGAATCATTAATAAAACACAATAACATTTATCTGCTATGAAACCTTATTTTGCAGGTCTTCCACTGTTCATTCATTGCCCTGTGTTCATCCTAACTGCTTGGCGCTTCACATCTTAACTTGTAAATGCACAACTAGCAAACTATTCACTAACAAGAAAGCTTTAAAAACTCTACATAAATTCATTTATCTGCGCCTTCAGGACAAATCTTGTTGCACTCAACCAACAAGGCCTGGGAGTTTTTATTCAGCACGGTCACGCAAATAGAATTCACTTTTTTGAATATCTAGTCATTGTACATTGTAACTCACCTGACTTGGAAAGTACAGTAATTCCTCCAACGTATCCGTTAGTGGGGTTTTCCGGCTGTAGATCTAAGCATATTATTCAAATGTGATCGATAATAAGTAACAGGTCGAAGCCGTTACACTATACATTGGAGACTTTCCTGTTTGCCCTAAGCGAAAACATTTTTATATTATTTTCTTCGTTGCAAACTAATGCACTTATCGATGAAACAATCTGGAAACATTCTGGAAGCTTCACATAGCACTTTCTTCGCTCCCTATTTAGTTAACCCGCCTCTTCAGTTCGCTGATCAGACAAATTGGCATAAGAGCAAGACGTTGTTCCCGCGTACAGAGAACTCTCATAGTTATTACAGATCCAGTGTAACGAAAACGCCAAATGTTAACTTTTAATTTCTAGAAAATATTCTTGTATATGAAATAAATGCCATGAAGGAAAAAAGTTCTCGCCCGCAAAAGCTTGACCGAAAGAGAACACAGCTTGTTTTTTTTTTTTTTTTTTTTTTTTTTTTTTCTCATAACAAAGGTAACTAGATGCCCAATATCAAACTGAATATGGGCATTTTCCCGAAATAGAAATTAAGATGAGAAATACTGAACAAAGTGATCTTTATCTCACCTTTTTTTGATAACCTCTGAGCTGTTCAATACCTGGTGGTTTTCACTTGATTCCAAGTAAAAATGAGGCAAATAGCGTCATACGACATTAGAAATTATTGACCAGACCAATACCTCATTAACATATCACTATGAATTCAAATAATATATTTTATATGACATGTTTGATGCCAGATTTATCACCTTAATGGAGACCATTCAATTTTCGCTGACGAAAATTAAAACTTTCGTCCAAAACTTTCATCTACTATCCATATGTCTGCGATAGGACTCCAAAGTTATTGAAACACCAAATTAAAAAATCTGACCATACGTGGGGACAAAAATCCCAAAGCTAGGAAAGGCTTAATCAAACTTTAGCCATCGCTGAATTTTAATCTTACATTGAAAATGAAGTCTCAGATTGATTGACAGTACTTACCAAAATAGACCGCTCGTAATGAATATTTTTTCTCGCAAATTTCGAAATATAAGACGTACAGATGTTTTTGCACACTGCTTGAAACGTTTCATATCACAATATTTAATCGATAGGCAAAAAGCAAATAAAGACAATGCTTAAATTTCGAAATAGAAACGTTCAATTCGTTATATCAGGTTTGGAAGCTGGGCGGATGAAATCGAGTATACAGAATACGTGATGCAGCTATCTGATCAAGTAGACTTCTTTAAAGAAAAATTAACTTGTTTAACTTCGTCTATTTTTATTTCAAGCTTCAGCATTATTCTTTACTTGGGCAATGTATATCAACTTTAAATGAACTATGCAAATTTCAGTATTTGTATTTCTGACTCTGATGTTGAGTTTGTCACTCTGAATAAATAGAAAAATTATTTATTACTCTTCTCACACGTGTTGACGTGTTTAGCGTTTTTTTATAAATCCTTCGATAGCCCAATAAAACATGAGAAAAATCAAGAATCTTCTTCGTTTGCTTCGTCTTTGCGTATCCTTCACGAGTGACGTAAAGTATTTTATACCAATTTCTGATCATCAGCAACCTTGAAGTGAATCGATTACAATTTTGCGCAAGCGTTATTTAACACTCTTAAAGTGCGAACGACTGAAAATAGATTTACTTTAAACATCAAGCAAATTTTAAAATCACCCACAAGATACTCGTGGTTAAAAAGTGACGCCTTGCGCAGAGGGTAAATAAAAATTTTCTATTTTTATTGCTATTCATGTCCAGGAATCCAGGAATCATCGAGGTTGAATCTGTCACCTTCAGCGCATCACTAGAAATGAACTGACCACAAAAAATCGCCCTACCCAAGGTTTGATGTTTAACATTTCAAATACTGCCCGACTGTAACTTGTTTAGATGTTTCGCATTTAGGTCCGTGGAACAATTGAAATGTTCGCAAAACTGAAGACAGCCTCCAAATTTAATCAGTTAATCGGGCTTTTGGAAGTATAGTTAAAATATTTCGGGTTTTAAATTTGATAGGAAATTGTTTGGCTTCTCACTCCTCAAATGCTGTATTTTGCGCAATGCTTGCACCTGAGTCAAACGGTGAAGAAAAACAAGATCTGGCGAAAGCCTGAACCTACTAAATGCTCGGAACCCTGCGCAGACTACCTTGAGAGGGGCAAATGTTTGAGTCTTCTGAACTGGCCCGTTATGCGCGTAAAACTGTTAAAAAGCAAATGTCAAGCACAAAAAAAAGTGCAGGGATGGCGCAGTGTTGAGACCGATCGCCTCCCGCCAATGTGGCCTGGGTTCGATTCTGGTCCGGTGCCATAAGTGGGCTTAGTTTTTTGTTGGTTATCGCCTGGCTCCAAGGGTTTTTCTCCGGGTTCTTTGGTTTTCCTCCCTCCACAAAAACCAACATCTCCAAATTCCAATTCGACCAGAATAGAGGGCCGGCATGTGATGCGATGTGGCTTCCTCTCTAAGTTTCATAATATAATTTGAAAAGTTGTTATGGGCATTCACGAGTCTTCGGATGAATCTAATAATAATTCCATCCCCCCTTGACTCAATATCTCCAATATCCCCTACGTCGGTCAGTAAATAACGATTGGTCCCTTACAAGCAAAACGCTTCTGTTTTGATGACTATATTGCAGGTGTCATGATGTGGTGATCCGAAAGAACAGTGATCAAACAAAAGTGTAATCGTGAACTGGAATTTAACTAATTCATAAAATAAGAATGAAGGATCTTGAACACACCTTGTAAAGAAGCTTTTACTCAACTATATAAAATTTTCCTTTATATCTGATACTACATTAATTTTTACCGCACCTTACTTCGCGAGTCTGTTTTTGTCTTTAAAGAGCAAGCCATAGGCATCTATATATAACAACTTTATCAAGAAATCTGCAATTATTTCAGAAATCTCTAACCAAGAAGAGGCTCGGGAGGGAGGCGTGGTAGCCTTGTGGTTAGTGCGCTCGACTCCGGATCGAGAAACACCAGCTAGCCAACTGGACAAGTTTTTCTTTAGTTTCCTATGGGAACAGTTTTCCATTTCCGTTTACTCGTATGTTTTTAATCTGTTCATGGTAAATGTTCAGGGACCCATTTCTCAAAGGTCCTGAAACGTTTTCGCACCCGAAAAGCCATAGCAAAATCTCAAACCTTATGATTACAGAGCTGTTTTATTCACATACACTAAATACAAACAGCGGCTCCCTTCTTACGAGAAGTTTCAGGCGTATAAACCTCTCTGTTTTTAGATACAGATTAACTAAAAATGGTTTTGCTGGCCCGAAAAGATTCCTGGGTTTTCGAGAAACGGGCTTCTGGGCCGGGTTGTTCAAAGCCCGATTTAGCTATCCCAGGATTAGCGAGAATTTTGCTCCAAGTTTTGTAACTTTTCGGTGAGGCTTTCTGCTTACATTGCTTGCCCTTCAGTTTAATTGAATTTGAATAATCTCAATGCAAACTACGCAAAACATAAGCAGTGAAAAACATTTTTACACAAAAAAGGCAATAATTCGGTTAAATTTTAATCCCGGGTTAGGGTCAACCGGCTTTCGAGCAACCAGGCTCTGGACGTTTAGCAACATATCAGAAACCTCCTCTACCAGGTTAGTCTAATCTACTGGAAAGGAAAATGTATGATTCAACATGAAAAAGTGTTTTCAATTGTTGGTCAATTGTAAATCGTTTGAGATGTTTTGCATCTGGTTTTCCTTGATGGATTGAGGCATCTTGGGTTGCGCTCTGGGATTCATCTAGCATGCCTTGACTGGGCAGCAAGAACTGCGTTCTCAGCTAGAGATTAGTACAATCATTTTTTCCTATGTGTGCATACTCTTCGTCCTTGTTTTCGCCGCTACTTGCATTGGTTGTCGCAGAACGACCGCTCAGCTTCTTGCTCTTCTGAAAAGATAAGTAACCCGTGAACAGCTTCTTAAAAGCGTACCTGAAGTCTTTGTTCATAAGCCCGTAAATGAGTGGATTGAGCATCGAATTCCCATAATGCATCCACTTGGCGACAGACACAATAAGAGGTGGAGGTGGACAGCGGCAGATGTAATAATTTAAGTTAAGTGCGAAGAAAGGAGACCAACACACGATGAAAGCTCCAATCACCACGCCCAGCGTTTTTGCTGCCTTTAACTCGGCGCTAAGGGAAAACCGTCTGGATTTTCCATTAATTGTCATGTCGATCTGCTTTGCTTGGTGTCGTGCAGCTCTAAATATGTTCACGTATGCAAAGAGAATAATTATAACAGGAACTGCATAATTAAGCACAACTATCACCAACGTGTACAAGTCACTGTTCCAGAAAGTGGGCGCCAGAGAAGCAACCACAATGGAGTAACACCATATGGTGACGAGAATGATAATGCCTCTTTTGCTGGTCATCCGTGAGTGGTAAAGTAGAGGTCCTGTGATGCACAGATGACGGTCGATGCTCACAAATGTTAAATGCCAGATAGATGCGACACTCACCATGATATCGGTCACTGTCCATAATTGTTGCAGTAAAGGTTTGTTCAGGAATAGTGCTGGGCCAGATATTATGTGAGCGACCCACACCGGCATGGAGATCAACGCCACCAAAATGTCCGTGACAGCTAATGACACGACGAAGTAGTTGGTGACATGGCGGAGTCGACGGAACCGTTTGAATGCTTGTATAACGAACACGTTGCCAAAGATGGCCAGTAGAATTATTAACACGACAAAAGTGCACGAGAGGGCAATATGAATTTCGTCGTATTTTTCTGGTGACTCCGTGCTTGAGTTGCTGCTCATAGTGATGTCTTGTTCACACAGATCAGTTTACTTAAGATTTCTTGGACGTAAAAGCGTTTGCCCAGATGTCTCTGCCTCGGTAGACTATCTCCAATACAAACAGTGCCTTTTGATGAAGTTATTGTAAAATAACGATCTTCTTGTCCTCTTGTTGCCAACTCAAACTTTCCGAGGAAAATTATTTCTTTTTTTGTTTTCTTTCTTGAAAATGATAATTCTGATTAACGCGCCACTGCACCTTTGTAGTGAGTCTAGCCGCTGTTATTCGTGTTGCTTCATACTTCCCTTCAGTAGTTCAGATACAAAGACTGGAAGGAAGTAAATAACAGTGCATTTTAGTTGCTATTTAAAATTCAAGTGCAAAGTGATTAAAGGCTTAATTCCAAATTTACCGGCTTTTAAAATGACGAACACCGTACTGCCATTAAAATTTATCTTAAGTAGAACCAAATCGGATCATTTGCCTTTCATCGATCGGAACTAAATCTTTTTGCTATTTTGAAGTCTTAAAGTAAATCTATATATCATAGAATATGGCAATGGGGAAAAGTTATTACTTGTTATGAAAACATAAGAAGAAATTAAATAATTTGAGTCTGGCAGGCAGCTGTATTTTCTTCAAAACGTTTGAAAATTAGATTGAAATTGAAAATTATGATTTAAAGCTATAACTAAACTTTAATTTAAAAGAAATGAATTATAACGTTTCAAGGTTAACTCAAATTGACGAATTTACGAAAACAGAAGCAGCGACCTGGTCATTTACTTTTATGTGAAAAATGGTTTTAATTCCATTTGTAAATAATTTTGTATAATCACATGGTCTGCCGCTTTCTTTAATTTCCTGCGTTCTTTGAATAAATCCCTTTCTCTCAGCACTGGCTTTAATTAAAAACAGTGCGACGATAATTATTAAGAATGTAAGCCACATTAAATCTTTAGAATTAAAAAAACATATTTCAATCAGTCTTAGAATAATCCTATTTAATTCGGGGTAAATATAGGTGCTAAAAAAGTAATATATTTAGAGAGACACTGATTTGACCAATCCTGGACCGCGGGAAAGCAAATGAATAATAGAAGTTAGAGAACCAACTGGAATTTATGTGATAGAAAACGTGAATGAAAAAGTTGGTAGTCTTATTACATGTTAAATACATTGTAATTTTTCCAACATGTACTGAAATTAATTTTAGAGTTTAACACAAACAATAAACGTACTACATGTGAGATGCTGTTAAATCAGTAAAGGAATCTAACGATCCCTTGCAGTTTGTGAGCGGCAAAAGCAACTCCTTTTTTAGAAGTGTAACCAACAGATTCTAAACAACGGATTATACTACGAAGGAAGTCAAGCTGTTCCTGTTACTAAACGTTATACGTCTTACTGTTTAAAAACAATGCTTGTCATTTGGAAGCCATCTTGACGGGTACGTAATACGCGTCAAAGACCGTCAGAAATTACAGTAATTGTGTGGAAATCCGATGGCAAATTATTTTCTGAGCAATTAATGAATAGCAACATTAAGAGGCTAAATAAAGGATTGATTAACCAATATTTGAGTGATAACGCATCCATGTTCACGAAAAATATTACTTTCCATTGTAGGGAAAATAGCGCGACAGGACACTCTTTGACACAACAACATATCCCTCAAATCTGGCTTCCAAAGCCGTGAATAGCTCTATTGTGAAAATTTAAATATTTGTCGACAAGAAGTTTTTCAGAGATCAAAATTGTCTTAAGGTAGTTTTCTACTTCTACTGGGAATTAACAAAGTAAGAGTGGTGATGGGCAACTTTTGAAAAGAGTCGTACACTCAGAACTCAGAAGTCATCACCCGAAAACTAGCGTTAAACGGGGGAAGGGGGGAGAGGCAAAGCGCGGATGGAAGAAGAGGGAGTGCCAGTTCTAGTCAAGTCAAGTCAATTTATCTTCATTTAGGCAGGGTAGGCCTATCAACCATAGGCTGGTATCAAAAGGGGCCCTGCGTAAAATTACGACTACATGATAAAAAATTCAGAATTTAAAAATTACCGCAAAGATATGTATATAAGGACTTTAAAAATCGAATAAAAAGGAAATTACACATCTATGAAATACACTTTTCTAGATCAATACAATAAAAGAGAACAATCAAAGTATATCTAAGTATTATATTGGTAGAAAACTAATGGCTAAAATGAAAACTAAGACAGTTCTT